GACCCGCCTCGATCAGCATATGCCCCCCCCCCCCCCTCCCGGTTCCAGGCCATGGCGACGCCCCCCCGCCACCAGAAGGGCGCCGAGCTGCATGACATGCCAGCGCTGGTGCAGGCGCCGCGCGCGGGGGGGATTGGGGAGGGTAAATGAGATTCGAAGGAGACGGTCGTGGAGACGCCAGGCCTGGAATTTGACGAGGAACGGGGGGCGAGGGGGGGGGGGGGAGGAGGGGGATCGACAGGGGGGGAGTGGAGGACGAGAACGAATAAGGGGAAGGGGAACGCACGGTGCGTGGGCATCTCCCCTCTCGCGGCGCCAGGCGCTGACCGCGCAGATCGACGATGCGACGGCCCCCGTGATCCAAGGCCCGAAGGGGCATCGATGAGGAGGATAAGGACGAAGCGAGGATGATGAAATGATGTTGGGGACATGTGTTAAGTAAGGAGATGGGGGCACTCGAGTAGCAGCGTGAAGGTTCAAGGGGGAGTCGATGAGGAACGAGATGACGAGGAACACAGCGATGAGGGCGACAAGGGCAAGCAGGAGGTTAAGATGAGGTGAGTGCTAAGGTGTATGATGAGATGTGGGATGAACAGAGTAGGAGGACGATGTAAGAGCGAGGGTAAGGATGTGTACATATGAGAGGAAGGTTAGGATGAGAGTAAGGATGAGGATGAGGGTAAGGATGGGGATGATAATGAGGATGGAGGTGAGGAGACATCAGTGATGAGGATGAGGATGAGGATGAGGATGGAGGTCAGGATGAGGATGAGGACGAGGACGAGAATGAGAGACTCCATGGGTCGAGAAAGGGATCGGTGATGGCCCCGATCGTGAGGCTTCATGAACATCCCGTACTTCGCGCACTACAGCGCCCCGCGGGGCAACGCGCGGCCCATCGTCGAGCAACTGACGGCGCCTGGGGGACGGGGGCTCGCAGCAGATCTCGAGCAGAAGGGGGGTAGCGAAGAGGAGACAGATGAGGACTGAACGCCGAGCGGAGCGGAGGGTCGAAGTGACGACAGAGGGCGGTGCCATCGTTGTCGTCATGATCGCCATCTTGACCGTCGCCATGACTCACGGCGACGTACTGTCAAGAATACCGTCACAACGACGGTCACGATGACGATCATGACGACCGTGATGGCACTGGCGCAGGCGGCATCCAGGAACGATCGAGGATGCAAGCGATGGGGGGGGGGGGGGGGGGGGGGGGGGAGGGAGGGGGGGGGGGGAGGGGGGGAGGGGGGGGGGGGGGGGGGGGGGGGGGGGGGGGGGGGGGGGGGGGGGGGGGGGGGGGGGGGGGGGGGGGGGGATGGGGGGGGGGGGGGGGGGGGGGGGGGGGGGGGGGGGGGGGGGGGGGGGGGGGGGGGGGGGGGGGGGGGGGGGGGGCGCCGAAGCTGATTGCCGCGGGGGGGTGGGTAGGGGAGATACAGGGGGGGGGAAAGAGGGGGGGGGGGGGGGTGGGGGGGGGGGGGGGGGGGGGGGGGGGGGGGGGGGGGGGGGGGGGGGGGGGGGGGGGGGGGGGGGGGGGGGGGGGGGGGGGGGGGGGGGGGGGGGGGTGGGGGGGGGGGGGGGGGGGGGGGGGGGGGTGTGCGAGGCGTTCGAGCACGCCTACGCGGCCATGGACAGGATCACCAAGGGCGGACGCTTCTGTCAGAGCAACATGGAGGCCCATCGCGGGGAGGGAGGACTAGAGAGATGGATGAGGTTGGCTTCCTTGAGGATGGGGAGGGGTGGCGGGGCAGGACAAAGGGGAAAGGAGGAGAGCAGGAGGAACGGGGAGCAATGAGAAGAGGAGTATCCGATGAGGAAGCAGCGAGGGGAAGAGGACTGGTTACGGTGAGGGCGAGTGTCGATGATGATGGTGATGGGTGTCCATCTCCAGGGTTGCTGGATAAACATAAGATAGCCGTGCAAGCAATTTGGTAGGGATCAGCACTGGCCCGAGTGCTGATCCCTAAAAGTGGGTGTTCTGCATTCAGTGTCGCAGTGCCATGTTTTCAGACTGTGCGAATGAGAGCCGTCCTCGCAATTATCTCTCACCCGTCGTCGATGCGGATGTTGATGATGGTGATGAGGATGCGGCCGATGATTGCGATAGTGGTGATGCTACTAATGATGCTGATTCGTGTGGTGACGATGTTGCCGACGAGCGAAAGCGATGACGGCGACGGTGATGATGCGTGTTGCGATGGCGGTGACGATGCAAGCCAGTGTGGTCCACGACAAAGCTGCTGATGTTAGTGATGGTCATGATGCGAATGATGTTGACGATGCTGGTGGGTTTGATGCAGTTGGTGCTGGCGGTGGTACCGCTCACAATGATGATGCTGATAATGCTGATGCTGATGTGATGATGATGATGGTGACTTGTGCTGGTGGTGATGGTGATGGTGTTGCTGATGGTGATGATGATGATGATGAAGATGTTGATGCTGATGATGAGGATGAGGATGATGAGGATGATGAGGATGATGATGATGATGATGATGATGATGATGGCGATCCTTGTCGCGTGATAGGCGATCTGGACGGCGGCCTTCCAGCAGACGCTCGCGGTCCAGTACAAGCAGGTGAAGGGAAAGAAGCCGCCGACGAAGTTCATCGCTGGCCACAGGCCAGCACGCCGCCACATGCGCAGATGCAGTGTCGAGGAGGGGCTGGATGATGAGTGGGTTGTGCGTGCGCGGGACATGCGTGTGGGGGCCAGTTGCGCGCGCGCGAGTGCCTGCGTACATTCTATATATGTATATACATATACGTATAAATGTGCATATATAAGCATATATGTATATATGTCGGCGCATGCGCGAACGATAGCACGAATGTGCGGACCCACTCCCCCATGCAAACGCACGCGCGGGTGCACCCGCGCGTATATATGTATATACTACATACATACACATATATATACATGTACGCGTGTTGGCACACGCACAGACATGTATAGATATCAGCGTCGTGTGTATATATATATGTGTGTGCACTCACGTAGCGCACATGCGCGCAATCGCCCTTCGAATGAGGGAGGGCGAGAATGAGAGACAGACAGAGAGGGAGAGAGAGAGAGAGACAGAGAGAGAGAGCGAGATAGACGAGAGCGGCGCGAGGTACCTGAACTCCCGCGCCTTCCGCATCGGCTTCGCCCACTGGCAGCGCGTGCGGAATTCCCAGCTCGGCTCCGCCGGGGTTAGGGGGCCGCTGGGGAGCGATAGTCGGAGAGTCAGCGTTGCCAGCAGCTTCGTGCGCATGCGTCATTTGGCGGAACGCTCATGTTGCGTCACGCATTCCGATCACACTGTGCGCAACATTGTGCGTATGTGTAAATATACCTGCATGGGCGTGCATGTATGCATGCGTGATGTATACATGTATGTATGGGTGTATGTAGGTATGCATGTTTGCAGGTATGTAGCTATGTAGCTATGTATATATATATATGTCTATATGTATGTAGATATGTATGTATGGATGTAGGTATACATGGTTGTATGCATGGTTGTTTGTATGTATGTTTGTAGGTATGCATGTGTGTAGATAGGTAGATATGTTTGTGTGTATGTATATTTGCATGTATGTACGTGCGAATGTTTGTGCGTTTGTATGTATGGGTGTCAGTATGTAGGTATATGTACATCGGTGTCACCTTTCCTGCCCCAGGGCATCCGACCTCGTCTTCTCTGCCCGAGGGCGCGAGAGACAAACGCAGGGTGGTAGGTCGATGAAGAAGACGTGGAGGATGTGGATGACTCGATCATCAGGCGTCACCTCGAGGACGCGCTGGAGATCCAGGAGGGGGGGGCAATGACTCGAGGGGCTGACCTGGTCCTTGGCCTCGAAAACCTACGTGCGTGCGGCGGTTAAACAACGGCTTTGTGATGGCCGCGTAATGTTTCGTCATCTTCCTCCTCCTCGTCTTCCTCCTCTCCCCATCCTCCTCCCGCTCCTCCTCGACCGAAGTCTGGGGGAGAGCTATGCTGCGCGTGTCTGATGCTTCGGCCTTCGCAGAGTCCACGCTGCACCCCACCCCGTGCTCCGATCTGGGGCCGCCCGACCCTCCAGCATGATGAAGGCTGACCGACCATGCCCTGCATGGACATTGCTGACTTGCTCGACACATGCACCTCGAACCTCCTGCTTCGCACAGTCGGCCCGCGTAAGGATGGGCAACCTTCCCAAGGGTACCCTTGCATCCTTGCCCCTTAAACCTAAATGATGCCCTCCAAGGCACTTGCGTCCTTGCCGCGCATCTCTTTGAGGCGGGTTGTCTGCTTTCCCGCTCCATGCATGTGAACGCCTCCCGTCGAGAGGACTCTCAAGAGGGTGGCTCCGAGGCGGCGCCAGAGGTCAAAGGAGAGGTGGGATTGGCGATCGCGGACACGCAGGCCGACGAGGACGATGAGGACGAGATGGCGATCGAAGATCAGGAGGAGGAGGAGGAGGCAGCTGTGGCGCCAGGAGGAGGAGGAGGAGGAGGAGGACAGGTCGTGAAGATGCCCTTCTGGCGGAGTATCACGGGCAAGAGCACTCCCAGGAAGAGGAGGAGGTGCAAGAAGGAGCACGTGAAGGATGAGTTCGATGATGATCGAGCTGGAGCGCCCGCTCACGGCATCGAGGCCGTGATCGACGGCATCCCGCCGCAGATGGCGAAACGTGCTGCAGGATCAGGCGCTGCAGGATCAGGCGCTGCAGGATCAGGCGCTGCAGGATCAGGCGCTGCAGGATCGAGCGCTCGAGGCGCTGCAATTATGACGAGGCCCGCGGCCGCGCCCATGAAAAGGCCAGCGGCCGCGAAGAAGCGCGCAGCCCAGGCAACCGAGAAGAAGGGGGAGGAGGAGGAGGAGGAGGAGGTGCCCGCCGCCGAGGGGGCAGCAGCCGCGGCCGGCGAGGAGGATCAGGCGGCAGCCGAAGAGGACACGGCAGCCGAAGGGGACAAGGAGGAGAAGGAGGCGGCTGAGGGCGAGGAGGAGGAGGAGGAGGCGGCGGGCGCCGCCGAGGAAGAATCCGACGAGATCATCGAGGTGGATGCCTGGGCGCCCGACATGACGGTTCCAGCTGATGACAACTACGGCGACTACACGCGCTGGGGCGTCCAGGTCATGAAGGACACGAACGACAAGCTGTGGCGCCTCAAGTTCAGGAGCCGCCGCACCGAGGGCTACGACACGATCGCCTATATGGAGGATGAGGCGACCTCGGGCGGCTGGTCACAGCTTATCCATCCAGGTCAGCGACAAAAGCTGGACCGACAGCATCATGGCGAAGTGCGACGCGGGCTGCAAGGCCACCATGAGCCGCCTGGTCATGACGTGGCTGTTCTACTTTGTGCTGAAGAACCAGACGGCCGACAAGCAGAAGGTGGTGCAGATCAGGGGTCACCTCATCGCGAGTCTCTGATGCGCACTCCCTAGCGCGCGTGGGCCAGAGAGGACAAAAACACGGAGGAGGATAAATGGAGAAGGGGATCAGGTGGAAGAGCCAGGAGGGAGGGGGAAACTGAGGAGGGGGGGGAGGCGGAGGAGGAGGAGGAGGGGGAGGAGGAGGAGGAGAACGAAGAGGATGTGCAGAGAGCTGCAGATCGGGGGCTGGGCAGGCTCGTCGAAGAAGGGCCTCGAGTCCTCGAGCTCGATCTGGCCTACGGGATCGCTCGAGGAGAAGGGGTGGGATGGCGTCGGAGGGAGATCGGAGGAGGACGGCGCCGCCAGTGTAAGGTGCAGCTCGAGCTCGACGTCGAGTCGATCTTCCCGTGCATGCAGATGCACGTGATTGTGCTGCTCAGGCAGCTCGCGGGGCGGCCCCGAGAAAACCCCGAGAAGGCGCAGGATAGGGTCCCGAGATGGCTCCAGGCCCGAGGTACCAGATCGAGGACGGCCGTCGATCGTCCTCGATCGCCATGGGTATCTTGGGCTCGAGCTTTCTTGGGGCTCTCCCTGGGCCCTCTTCGGACCTTCTTGATCCATGGGAAGTTACATGTGAAACATGGGGGTCTCGTACACTACAGTGTCCATGTTTGCAGATGCCGACGTCGGCATCTGACATGGGCACTGTAGTGGATCGGTGGATGGCACTATGTATGGTGCAAGACGCACTGATGGATGTATGGTGGATGTATGGTGGATCGATGTATGGTACCAGACGCACTGAGCAACATTCGCAGTGGAAAGCCCCCATCGCTTCATCCGTCTCCATCCCCACTTCAGGGCACCAGTTGGGAGCAGTCCACGCTGTATCTGTTCGCCCGAAGTGGGGGGGAGATGAAGCGATGGATACTTTGCAGTGCGATGTGTCTTCCCTGAGGTCGGCGATGAAGAGTCCTTTTGCTCCGCTCATCTGTCTCGATCTCAGCTGTCCACTCTTCATGTGTTCAATCCTCTTGGCCGCAGGCACGCGTGAGCGGGCCGCAGCATGCGCCCCCTGCGCTGGCACGGGGGGGTCGAGGGCGTGCGTGGATGGCAAGGGGGTTGCTGGTGGCAGCATGGGTCCATGAATGGCAGGGCTGGGATTCGACTGCAGCACGTGCTATATGTATAGGATGGCGCGCCTCGCGGATCAGAGCTCAGACACGCAGCTCCATGCTGCCAACGTTCCGTGCCGATGCAGGCGCAAAATACGCATGAGCGGGTCTGCAACCTTGGCTTCGATCGCAGTGGTCAGAACCTTGCTGGCCTCCATGTGGGAGTGGCGTCGACTGGGGGTGAGGATGAGCGTGGATGTGGGGAGGCAGGCATGGGTATCCGAAGTGGGGTGGGGATGGGGGAGGCGGCAGGGCCACGATGTATGCAGTCGATCGGTCCAGATTAGTAGGTCGACCCTGCCAAAGCAAGGGTACCCTTGTGTCCTGTGCCTCGCGTTCCATGCCCCCCCAGATCCCCGTGGCAATGTAGCCCTCAGAAGGCTCTTGTGTCCTGTCGCGCGTCCTGTCCAACCATGTGGTTCAACGTTCGGCGAGTGCAGGTTGCATTGTGTAGCCGCTTTCCAGATCGAGCAGCCTCGAGCCGAGTCCCGCTCGCGGGGCCCCTGGAGCCGACGCACCGCGGCAGCAGGCGAAACGGGGCGCACAGTTGTGGGCAGGAGTTGGTGCCTGCACATGATCAGAGCATGCTGGTGCATACGTATGTATATATGTGCATGTATGGGTGGTGCACACCTAACGTAAATATACACGCATACGAGTATCAACATGTGTGCATATATACACACATATGTAGATACATGTGTGTATATGCATCTATGTGTCTATATATATATATATGCATATCAGGTTCGTGCACGCATGTGCGTGCACATGCATCGTGTACGCAACACTCGTCAGTTTAATGCCCTTTAATGTTCTATATGTGTTCCCGTTCCCGTTCCTCCTCCTCCTCCGCCTCCTCCTCGAGGATCCTCCTCTTTCTCCCCCTCTCCCTCCTCCTCCGATCCTCCTCCTCCTCCTCCTCCTCCTCCTCCGTCCCTCACCCGCCGACTTGAAGGCATCTCCTCCTCTCCCTCCCTCCCTGCCGCCTTCCTGCCTCCTCCTCCTCGTATCTCCGATATCCTTCCTCCCGCCATGCCCTCCTACTCCTGCATCCCTCTCCTAACTCCCTCCCCCCCTACCTCTCCACTCCTCCCCACTCTCTACTTCATCCTTCATCCTCTCCTCTTACTACTCATCCATTGCCCTCCTCCTGCGCCCAACCTCCTCGAGGCCTCCTCATCCTCCTCCTCCTCCTCCTCCTCCTCCTCCTCCTCCTCCTCCTCCTCCCCCTCTCCTCCTCGAGGATCCTCTCCCTCCTCCTCGATATCCCCCTCGATCCTCAGGTTGGTCGGGGTGCGACTGGCTTGCTCCGCCTCGTGATCGCGCGCGGGGCCGCGACCGCTAGGCGCGTATGCGCGTGCGTGCAGCGCGCGCGATCGGCACATGCGCGCGGGCGCATGTACGCGCGCAGCGAGAGACCGCCCCCCCCCCCGCCGCCCAGGTGCACCTGGGTTTGCTCGGCGCCGTGGTCGACAGTGCTGGTGGCGATATGTGCTTTGGCTTCTCTACTACACTTACAACGCAGCAGCACGACTGGGCGCCCCTGATAGGGGCGCCCGTTGGCAGGCCCTCGAGGTGGGGGGGGGCGTGGACTGGCCGCCCTGCACCATGGCCCCGCGGGTTGGCGTCGGGCACGCGCGCGGGGGCGCGTCGCGGGGGCGCTGGGTCTCCTCGGGCGCGTCGAGTAGCCATGCAGATCCAAGCGGGGGAGGCGCAGCCCCCGCTTGCTTCCGCGCGGCGGATCCGACGCGCCCGAGGCGCCCGAGCGCCCCCGCGACGCCCCCGCGCGCGTGCCCAGACGCTCGCCCGCGGGCCAGCTGTGCCGCGAGGTCGGCCATCGCCCCCCGCCTGGGGTTGGCCTGCCAGCAACATTGCAGAGCGTTCGAGCCCCCGCCCCTTTGCGCGGGCTCGAAGTTCTGTAATGTTCTTTAATGTTCTTTAATGTTCTTTAATGTTCTTTAATGTTCTTTAATGTTCTTGTATGTAATGTTCTTTAATGTTCTTTAATGTTCTTTAATGTTCTTTAATGTTCTTTAATGCTCTTTAATGTTCTTTAATGTTCTTTAATGTTCTTTAATGTTCTTTAATGTTCTTTAATGTTCTTTAATGTTCTTTAATGTTCTTTAATGTTCTTTAATGTTCTTGTAATGTAATGTTCTTTAATGTTCTTTAATGTTCTTTAATGTTCTTTAGTGTTCTTTAATGTTCTTTAATGTTCTTTAATGTTCTTTAATGTTCTTTAATGTTCTTTAAATGTTCTTTAATGTTCTTTAATGTTCTTTAATGTTCTTATGTTCTTTAATGTTCTTTAATGTTCTTTAATGTTCTTTAATGTTCTTTAATGTTCTTTAATGTTCTTTAATGTTCTTTAATGTTCTTTAATGTTCTTGTATGTAATGTTCTTTAATGTTCTTTAATGTTCTTTAATGTTCTTTAATGTTCTTTAATGTTCTTTAAATGTTCTTTAATGTTCTTTAATGTTCTTTAATGTTCTTTAATGTTCTTTAATGTTCTTTAATGTTCTTTAATGTTCTTTAATGTTCTTTAATGTTCTTTGTTCTTGTATGTAATGTTCTTTAATGTTCTTTAATGTTCTTTAATGTTCTTTAATGTTCTTTAATGTTCTTTAATGTTCTTTAATGTTCTTTAATGTTCTTTAATGTTCTTTAATGTTCTTTTATAATGTTCTTTAATGTTCTTTAATGTTCTTTAATGTTCTTTAATGTTCTTTAATGTTCTTTAATGTTCTTTAATGTTCTTTGATGCCCGCTCGCCCTTAAGGGCGAGGCGACCCGTGCGCGCGCGCGAGCGCGGGGGGGGGGTGCGGCGGCGGGTCGTGGCGACGCTGACGCGCGGGCGCATCGGGGCGCGGTGGGCCGCGGGCTCGGGCGGGGGGGGGGGTGCGCCGCGCGGGCGCGCGGCGCGGGGGCCGCGGGGCGGGGCGCGCCGCGGCGCGGCCCGTGCGCGGCCGCGCGCAGGCGCCGCGGGGCGGCGACGTCGGCGGCGCGCGGCCGACCCGCGGCAGGATGGGCGCGCGCGCGGCCCGCGCGCGCCGATGGACCGCGATGCAGATATCTGCGTCGTCACGCGGCTAGCAGGCGAAATGGGACGGCGCGTAGCCGACCTGGATATTGCCGCATTGTGCGGGCGCGCGCGCGTGCGCGCGCGCCTGGCAATATATCGTTGCCAGGCGCGCGCCCGCGCGGGCGCGCGGGCGCAGCTGCGCCCGCGCCCGTTGCAGCGACGTCACTCGGCCGCTGGAGGGAAAACGTGAGTGCGCGTGTGCCCGCGTGCAAGCACGGTGCCGCCCTCGCATTTGCGCGCGAACGCGTGTGTGCACCTATATAGCACACCTACATATAGCTGTATATACGCCACTAGGTGTGCGTGTGTGTATATATGCGAGTGCTTGCACAAGTGCCCACATGGCGTGCGTGTAATTATAATGAATATGTGTTTAGTTGCGCGTGTGTGCCTGCATATGCATGCAGTTGCGCTGGGCCATGGCGAGCGCCCGTGGTGTGTGTGTGTGTGTGTGTTTCATGTGTATGCGCAGCCACGCACATACAACTATTTTATATACATATATATATATATATACACATGTATACAGCTGCAAAATATACGCAACAGAAAACAAGTGTGGATGTTGGATGGCCCACCTTTGCCGACCTGCACATCTTCGCATAGAGTGTTGCTTGTGTGCACGTTGCAGACTTGGATATTGCCGCAAGCTCCCGCGACCTGGATATTGCCGCTGCGGAACAGTAGTGAGGTGCAGGTTAACATCCCTTGGGCGTTGCTCGATCGCCCCCGCCTGATGGCACTAGGACTCTCACAT